GAATACGAAATAATTAAATTTAAATTTGCTAAAAGCCGAAATGTAACGACGAAGCGAATTTCTCGAAAAAAGCCTCATTTGATCATTTAATCACTCGGAATAATCGTATTTACATATTAACACCCCAGTAAATCTGCGATTAATGGTCATTGCGTAATGGCTGTGCGCTGTTCACATTTTCATTACACGTGTTATCGAAAAGTCCCATTTATTACAAGAGTCGAGTTAAGTTATGTTAAGAGGTACATTGAGATAACAATTAAACGAAAAATTTCTATAATTAGGGCAGTGTCGAATTTTGTTCCTTCCGACGTAGCATAATTTATAACGAAGAATTATGCTCTACGAATACATGAAAAATAATTTCAAAAATTATTTAATAATAAATAAATAGATATTAATTTCATGTTTATTAATGTTTTAGCAACTACTGAGAAATGACACTTTTATTACTTGAATCTGTGCCTAGTAATCCTTCAATATGAGAAATATTATTTATTTCTACATCTGAATTTATTTGAAATGATTATTGCGTTATTGCGACGTTATATTGAACCATTACTGAGATTAACTGAATTTAATTAAATAAATTCTTAACAAATTTTCAGTTAAATTTGATCAATTATTATTGTACCGATAATTATAATAATTATAATAATCAAAGTAACAATAATAATTATTAATATTACTGAAATGAATGAAATAAATTAACCAAATTTACTTAAAATGAAACTGATTAAAATTCTGTTATACCTATTTTTAAATTCCGTTCTTCCTTATTTTTGTAGTCAGCGTAAACAATTCCTCGACACAGTGTACATTATTATTCATTTATGTGCATATAATTAACATAAATAAAATATTAAAATTCAGGAAATAAAGTTTCCAAATCCAAAAGAAAATCTGTTCTTCACTGTTATCTGATCGTCAATTTAGTCCTGTTCTTCTCTCACTCCTGACAAGTAGTTACAACTTATCAACAGTTTGCTTTCGAAGGAAAAAGAAGTTTGCAGAAATAATTTCGTGCAAGAGAAGCCGGATTTTAAAGAGAATTTATGGCTGTCTAGGTCTTTGCAGTAACAATTTCGCCAGGGAGCTTCGAAATTTTCTTAGGTCGCATTGTACGTATAAGTTTCGGGGGCAAAGAGTAGAAAAGTGAACCGCTTTGGGATACGTTTCATAACACAAACTTCGACGCCACGGGGGACTTCCTTCCGACCTGGCAAACATTCCGGATACCAATTTAATTATTCACTTACGGAACTCTCGTCTTTTTCGATTTTCTACTGTCCCCGATCTCGCTGAACAGCAGGAGAGATCGCGAACATACACGATTCAGTTCCTGATCGGTCGACAAAGAAATTAACGCAATTTTCGTGTGACCTGCACTCGACAATCCACCGTGTTTCGTTGAGATAAAAGTTTTCACTTTCCTGTTGTTTGAAATCGATTCCTCGCGTATAGCATGGGGAAACATCAAAGTAGAATATAGCATTATCAGGGAGGAATACTGTATTTTCTGTTCTGCTATTATTAGTGAAATATTATTGATTATAATAGTAGTGAATTTGGAGTGTCAATATATAGTTATAATGTATAAATTATTATCTGTAGTGTGTTGTAGTGTAGTGTAGTTGTAGCGTATAAATTATCATTTGTAATATAATTGAATATAGTTTATAGTTTTGTTATATAGTATACAGTTTTTCAACATAGAATATAATATTATCAAATAGAGTATTATCAGGTAGGAATATTGTATATTCTGTTCTGCTATTATTAGTGAAATATTATTGATTGTTGTAGTAGTGAATTTGGACTGCCAATATATAGTTATAATGTGTAAATTATTATCTGTAATGTGTTGTAGTGTAGTGTAATTGTAGTGTATAAATTATTATCCATAATGTAATTGAATGTAGTTCATACAAATTATTTCCACTGGAATGTTATAGAATATGGATATAAATATATGTTAATAAATATATCAACGAACATATAATATAGATAAATGTATACAATTATAGATTTCTTGTAATCAAACAGAACATAATTTATGAAAATTATTATTAATGAGGTATTAGCAAATGTAAAAATAATTTTGTATAGAATTGAATAAGGTTTACAGAAATTATTATTAATGGAATATTATTGAATATATAAATATTGATAAATATATTACAAAATATACGATATTTAAAAATATAAATTGAACGACCAACAAATATTTTTTCTCTTATTGTGGTTAAACAATGAATTGGAGAAAACTGAAATTTGTAGGTTAGTTTTGAATTGATGTGGGTGGAAACATTTCTGTTCTTTTAATTAAAAACATCCGAAACTTTATCTGTTATTTCACGCGACCGGTATTTTTCATTGAATAAATGTTAAATATTGGAATACGTGGATGTCGTGTTATTGGAAGCATGACAGGGAAATCGATGATTCTACATAGAAAAAGAGAAAAAATAATAGAAGAAAGGTAAATTAAAAATCCTTCTCGAATATATGGAATAAATCATAATTCACGAAACAATTAAAAAGGCAATTTAAAATTAAATGTAAGAAATAGTAAAAATTTAATTACAAGATTCTTCATATAAAAATAAATGAGTAATTTGGAATGCAATTTTTTTTATATAGAAGTTTCAAAAATAATTAAAAATAATTAGTTGCAACAGTAATTACTCGTGTTAGTATCTCTATATAGATTAATACAATTATTTCAATTATTTCAACATTTTCTATCCGACTTATTTCAATTTTACTTTTGACAGCTTGTATCGCATCTAATATTCGATTTAATTTCCATCAATATTTCTGCATTTTAACTTCGACAGCTTGAAAGGCTGATACGTATTAAACATCACGGTTCATTCTTAATTTAAAATTTTCATATTTTGTAAATTTCAATTTAACATTCTGAAAAGTTTCTGACAAAATATACCATTATTTTATTCTTTTAGAAATTGGATAAAATTTAATGATAATTGTAAACGATATTCTAAATATCTGTAATAAATGAAAATGTAATAGAATATAAATCAAGATTAATAGCGAATTTTGTTAAAAGTACTTTACAAAATTAAACACGATTTACTAGACTGGATTTTAAGCTTAATCCATTTTAAATAAGTTGCCAACAATAGATCTGTGAAAGGCAGTTGAACCAACGGGTTTTATGTCACGTGGTCGACAATTATAACCTACACATGAAGCAGCACACTTCCTACATCACTAATTTTGATTACTAGCATAAATACCCCTTTGCCACCTAAAATTAGCTTTTGCATCTGTTCGTTGACTTTTGAAGTACTCGAATATAAACGATAGTTCTAATGTTACAAATAATATCCAACTCCTAACTAATATTCAAATCTAAATTCGAACACGATCACGAAAATAATTCACACAGTAAGAAACAAATAACACAGTTATAAATTATTGAATAATGAATAAATATAAAAATAGTAAACCTTTAGAAGATCAATATTTCAAATTTCAATTCTCTAACTTTAAATTAAAATCACATAATCGACTTAAAAAAGATTAAAAGGAATAAAAAAATATAAATAAATAAATAAAAGGAAAAGGAAAAACTTAAAAGAGGAATTAGATATAGCCATAAAAAATTTAACGACATTCCAAACACCATATGCTCTTCGCATACTATGGACACCAGGACCAAGCATCTCTATTCTAGTAAAATCATTGGATAATTTTCAAAAATTAAAAAAAAAGAATTAAAAAAAATAAAAGAAAAAGGAAAAACTTAAAAGAGGAATTAGGTGTAGCCATAAAAAATTTAACGACATTCCAAACACCATATGCTCTTCTCATACTATAGACACCAGGACCAAGCATCTCTAGTCTAGTAAAATCATTGTATAATTTTTTGAAAAACTCGTATGTTCTTATTTCTTATTATTTTCAAATATATTGCAAAAATCAGTATTTTAAAAAATATTTTCTTATATTACATATAATGTTCTTAATTTTCGAGATATTTTCAAAAAGTAACCTGTAAAATAATTATTAATTTATCCTAAATTAACTCTGAGCCTTATCTTTTGTTTATAGTTTGGCTGATGGACAAAGACAAAGGGGTGAACATGTCGACTATGTTTGTGACTCTGTCACAGATATATATAACCAGAATGCGACGTAATAGTAAACAGTTTTGATAATTATGCATAAAATATAAAAGGTTTATGACAATGATTTTGATTAAATATCATTACGTTATCAAGCTTCTAAACATCCTTTCGAGATATCAGCAAAGAATGTTAGTATATTTGCATTAAGTTTGCGTGGATCTACGACACAGACATACGCAACCGATATGTTGGCTGCTTGATTTGTTTATAGGTGATCTCAATCTCCTTATCTGACTCAAATCTAAACTTAACCCAAACCCTCGTTTAATTCCTGAAACATGCGCAGAATTTTTAGAGCATTTATTTCTGAAATACACGCATGATAGTCCTTCAATTTCCAAAATACAGACAAATTTAATTGTTGAACATTTAAATTCCCAAATAGCTTTAGAAAGATATACTCCAAACTCCATAATTTCAAAATCATCGAAACCAGGAAGGAACACCGTTTTGTTCCGGCATTTTGATAATACCGAAATTCCGACACAGTAGAAACATAAATAAAATTACACCAACGAAATCATCAATACTAACAAATAACGAAATAGAATTCATTCGATAATACCTACGCATTATAATTTCCAATTATTTCAGCCTCCCATTATAATTAGCCAAGTCACATCGTTTAATAAAACGACAAAATAAAATTCATTCGATAATACTCATACATTATAGTTTTCAATTATGTTAGCCCCCTACGATAATAATCAAGTCACATTACTTAACAAACCCCCCAAAAAAAAGTTTTATTTAAAATATAAATTTCCATAACATTCCAAAAAGATATAAAATCAAACTGAAGTCTAATTACTTGTACACCTCTATCGGAAAAATCGAATTTACCATGTGTCGTAGCGCCTAGCCTGGTAAGGGCCTGACCCTCTCTGCACCATACTCTGAGCATGCACTTCAGCAGCTCCTCCAAGGCCCTCTTCAAGGACGCGTCCTCTCCAAGCTCCGTGGAACACTCGGACGGCGCGCAATCGCACACCATCTCTCGCGGTGACGCGTGTCCGGCCACGCGACGCGTTCCAACAGCGACGTCTACGCGGCGATGTAGCCGAGACTTCCTGTCGTGGCCGCGACGCGTTCGAAAAATCGCCGCGGTCCGTAGCTCGTGTGGTTCACGGCTTTGAAGCACGGGCGGATCACACGTGAGTGGAACGCGGGAGCCACGGTGGAAAGCTCTGTCTTCCGACGAGGATGCCTTCGGTCGGCTCGTGGAATGCGACTCGCCGCCCTGACCCACTGACTGCCAGCCAAAAGCTTCTTCCACTCGCTGCTCGCCCCCCTCCACACCACTCTCACCGCGCTGCTACGACTTCACCGGGAATATTCGCACTGGCCGCGAATCGCGCCTCCGCGTATAGAGTCAACTGCGAGCCGCACGCTCGAAATTGTATCCCGATGATGCCCGATCGATGCTTCCGGTGTTCTGTCGGGGATACAGTAGGGCGAGCCGAATGCGGTTCGAGATGTTGTTTCGATTGCTGGAATTGGACGATTGGGAATGTAAGGATGTTGGATGGAGGACGATGCGGCGAGGAAGTTGATTGGAGCGGGGTGGGAGAGGTGGTGGGTGTGGAGGGGAGCGGCTCGGTTGTAGTTCTGGTGCGCTGGGAGCGCTTGGGGTTTACTGTGGGATTTGATTTTTCGCTTGAAACTTCACTTGTTTTTGATATATTTTATCCTAAAGTACGTAATATTATTGAATATTGCATGTTATATTAGATGTTGAACATTCAGCAATGTCATGTGTCATATTATACAATGAAGTATATAATATAAGAATCCTGTGATGCAATATTTTATTAATGAGTTAGAGTTAGTCTCTTCACTGGGGTCCAGTGTATTTTTTTATTTTAGAGGTTTTGGGTTTTAGTGTTTGATCTGTTTGTATTAATTTTTGGTTTTTGTTGACTTTGGTTTGTTCTTTGATTTTTCTCTTATAAATTCTCTATTTGGTATCTCTATTTGGTATCTCTATTTTGTACTCTTTATTGGGGTTTATGGCATTTCTTTATTTTAGAGCTTTTGTGGTTTTAGTGGTTGATGTGTTTGTATTAGTTTTTTGATTTTTGTCTTATAAAGTTTCTATTTTGGTATTTACTTTGTATCTCTTTAGATGTTTCCCATCTTGACAATTTTTAGATTTTGATCTTCATTTTATACTTCAAAATTTGGCTCGAGTTTTAGAAGCTTCATGTATGTATAGATATTTGTTCACATAATTTTAGATCTTACGAGGTGTTGACATATCTTTTGTACATTGTAAATATCTATGACCAAATATATGAATATGCTGCTCAATAAAGTAACATGTGGAGAATGTGTGAACGAATTTGTGACATACTGTCTTTGTATTTGTTTCATATTTTGGTACTCCTTTTACGTCGTAGTATTTATTTTATACTACGGTATTAATTTTATCCTTTGAGATCTTTTGTTTCCTTAATAATTCTTTTATACTTTTATATTTATTTATTTGATTTTTTGATTACATTTTGTGTTTCAATAGTTGCTTCATATCTTCACATACGTTTTATACTTCGTTCAATATAAATATAAAAGTTGAAAGTTAGTATTACGATATTTTTCAAGCTTGGATTTTCTTCGTATCTACATGAATATATTTTAAATTTTGGAATCATAATATTGAAATTTAGAAATGAAATTTCAATTTCGTTAATTTTTAAATGGATTATTGATTTGGATACGAAATCCTGTAATATAATGATTCGTGGTAATATGCATATAAGATTACGTAATAAAACGGATTTCCTTCGCTTGCTTTCCATATGGAACGCTCCTATGAATTTTTCTTCAATGGGGTTTTCTGAGAAAATATTTGTCGAAGTACTATTATAGAAGTGGAGAGACAATGTTTGGAATGTCTGCCATTACTGGTAGTTATAATGCATACTAACGTGTATGCATAATCGATCATGAAAAGCACTGAAAGGATAATTCTGACGACTTGATAACGAAGTTTCGCGCAGAAAACATTGTAAACATTGAAATTACCAAAAAATTTATTTTTTAGTAATTCCCCCAACTTATTATAGTAATAGTAATTTTAATACTATTAATCGACTACCTTAAAATTACATAAATAATGAAAAATCAATTATTCAACTATCTAAAAATTACATAAATTATGAGAATCAAATAAAAATAAAAATATTTGCTTCACTATCAAATCTCTTTTTATTAATAAATAGTTAACTTCCACGTATAGTATTATTTTTTAACACCAAAATTAATAAAAAAAAAAAGAAAAGTTGTATAGATTTTGATTTATTCGAATAAGAAAACAAAAAAGAATGCTTAAATACTGCATGTTTTCAATTTCGTATCTTTCATTGTAAGTCACAAAAAGAAGTAGGCAAATTAATTTTCAATTACCCCAAAGTTATTACCTATACCAAATATTTACTCAATAAACAACGGTACTGACCTACGAACAAATATTTGAAACACATTCTCAACTTCAATCATTGATACATGAAACCTACTGTTGTTATATGTATAATTTTCATTCATACTCTTGCCAACTGATACATTCATCTTTCGTTCCAAATAACTCTCAACAAAACAGCATTAAATTTATGTGACTCAAAATCCCTATTGCACATCACAAACTGTTGAATGAAATTATTTCTCATTATCAAAATTGTTGTATTATACTTAAATTACAGACGGGATTCACGAAACCTGGAAAACCTCAAAATACTTAAAAATTTAAGAAAATTTAAGAAATTTCTTCTTTTATTTAGTTTAATTATGGTTGCTTAACTAAAGATTTGTGCTATAATTTTTTGAATTTTTCAGTTCTTAAAACAAGACATTTTTCTTGGAAAATAAAATCAGTATTTCGAAATGCAAGAGTTTCGAAAGTTTCGAAAGTTTCGAAAGCTTGGACATCTAACAAAGTTTCAGATTCAAGTTTCCAAAATACAAATAAATGTATATAGTGATACAAATAGACGTACAGTGAGCCACAGAAGTTTCGAAATCTTACAAAGTTTCGGCTACGAGTTTTGGAAAATAAAAAAGTCATCTTCTAATCCATGACTATATGTAAGAATTAATTAACGAGTTATTTAAATAAATTAATACAAAACAAGAAATATACCAAATAAATAAAATTATATATGAATCTCAAAATCTGTATATGCACGTAATCAGACACATCGTGAGTCAGAAGCATCCCTACTCTAATCGATGACCCCAAATTTCTATTTTTCAAGGATGCAGTTATAAGAACTTATTACATAAATTATTAATAAAAAAGATATTCAATGAATTTCAAATAATTTATAAAAATTAATTTAATATTATTACCTTTCAAGATTGACAATTTATATTTGTACATTAATAATTTATCTTTATGACCAAATGTACAATCTGCTCAAAAAATTTATTTAATTTCAGTACACGTACTATAAAATTCTAAAATTTCTAAAAATTTTTAAAAACAAATCCACTATTCTTATTATTTTACGTTTAAGAATATTTATTTTCAATTAAATATGTCTTACATAGTAAGATATTTGATCCTTAATTTATAAATAACTCTATCTGCAAATAATCTACTTTGAAAATTTATCCAATTTTTAATATACACAGTACATAATTCCAAAATTTAAAAAAATGTCTAAAAATATATTTAAAGTTAATCAATATTTATATTCTCAGTCTATGTGCACCCAAATCTGTCATTTTCCCATTACAAGACATCCAATTCCTAATTTATCACCAGCTTCATCCTCACGACCAGTTGCAACAATTTCCTCGATCATCGACATACGTATTACAAAATGCTGAAATTCCCACGAAAGTACAAGTCATAATAATTATGTGTTCAATCAGCAAAACCAGGAAGACGGCTGCATCCCGCGATTCGCCTATTCTAATCAAGCAACGACCTATTCGTCACATGTGCCTAGCTGACGCCGGTGTTGTAGGAGCGTCGGTACCAGCCGACGCTCGGCGTCTTTCTCTCAACTACGCCGTTTCGATTATATTTAGCCGCAGTATTACGCGGTGCTTATTTAAAGAAACGGGAAGAACGATTCCCTCTTTTTTCACCTCTCACAAGCTTGGCCGTCTCTCTTCCGCCCTCCATTTTCAGCACGGTTTCCCTCTTCCTTGGTCCACGGAAGCCATCTGCCGACGTCACCTCTCTCTCTCGCGCTCACGGTATCCAGTCGATATGGAAACCATTTCTTTGTCTAACCACCGCCATTTTGGGGCATTCTTTCGCGATGCGTTGCCTCGTCTTGAAGTAAATTTTAGTCACACCGGTCTGTCTTTGCTTTCTTTGAGCTTCCTCTAGGAAGTAGGTGATGGAATTTATAGGTTATGTTGTCAGGTTTCGATGTAGAGGCACTTTTGTAACCTGGATTTGCTTCAACACGATTGAGGAAATATTGGAATTGGGAAAATATTGGATTCGATTTAACACGATTTGGAAATTGGGAAAATTGAGGTCGCAATTTCTAAGTTCATTCTTGTACGGTTTGTATACATGTACATGTACTCAGGTATCACTCAGGCAACAAGGTACTTGTATAATATGGAGTTGTTTTAATATCTAAATTTATCTAAATTTGTTTTATATATTAATATTAATATATTAGGATGGTAGTAAAATAATTTCGTTTTTTGTATTTTCGATTTTTGCAGCTTGATATTGGAATAAATTGTAAATGCGGTTATGTTGTGTATCGTACGAAAGCGCTGACTCCGTTCTATATCTTGATAATAAACATTTTGTATGTAGTGATGATTTACGTTTTATTTAGGTTATTTAATTAGAGATGGAAAAGAAGCAAAACAAAATTATTTTTCTACCAATCTAATATTAACCTTTTAAATATATTATATTAATATTTTAATTGAGAATCGAAGAAATTTTCGTAGAATACGAATTTTCTTGAACACAGTTCGAATATTGGAAAATTTTTAGGTCCAATCACACGATTTGTACGATATTTTTTAGATATTATTTTCCTGATCATATTTTGAGGCTTTATACCGATCATTGTACCTAACTTCGTATAAGATCGCTGTATACTAATGGGTATAATTCTGCAAATTAAATTAAATTAAATTAGATTAAAATAAAATAGATATAGATATTACTCGTACAACGCTGTATTTGTATAATATGGACATGTTTTAACGCGATTCGAGAATGGGGAGAAATTTCGTG